CATGCAGGAACGATTTAAAGACGTTGGCGCTAATTGTTTCTGCGCAGCTTTACTGCGCACGCAAATTCACACGCCACGCCATGCATGAGCGCGCGCGCTAAGTAATAAATGAGCAATGATAGTGCAGACGGCCATTGCTATAGCTTTGCCTAGATTTAACGATCTTGGATGTTCGGTGACCCCTACTTTTCTTTCCAGAACCAGATTTTGTTTACAATTATCTCCACATTGTCCAAAAATGAACAAAAAATCATTGTGGGAATGTATTTAACAACAGCAGTGTTAAAACTGTAGTAAAATAACAAGTTGCTAGATTCCGACAAAACACGCAGCGAAATAAACAAATTCTCAACCTAGCGAATACTTCGATAAAAGGCATTATATTTGTTACGAAGGCAGAAATTATTCTTAACAAGTAAAATAACGACAGAAAAAATCAGTTGAGCTGTCTCTCTTTATGATTAGAAGCTTTATTTTTGTAAAAATTCTCAAACAACGCCAACATGCAGTGTAGTAATGCTCGTCTGCTTACTAGCGATCTCCAATCATCTCAGCGAACTGAACCTCAAAAAATTTCGTCTCAACGCTCACCCGACGAGTGATCAGTTGAAAGCTTGCTCTGATATTCTCTCCTTTACTCTGAGTAGAACCATGCAGTGGAAGTCTTTCCAACTTTGACGCTACTTCACGCAATCTTGCTGCAAGCCGCTGCAAGCCTGTAAGGTAGGTTAAGTCTGCATGCGACCCAAGTGGCTCATCAGGCCGGAGCTAATCCCGGTTTCTGTAGCGACTAGGAGTATTCCCACTCCCCTCTGGATGGGATGCTAGTTCATCGCAGGGTTACCCCTCAGCATCACCGAAACCCATTTATACACCTGGGTGGAGAGAGGCACTGTGAGAGTAAAGTGTCTTGCCCAAAAACACATCGCAATGTCACCGGCCAAGGCTCGAACCCGAACCGCTCGCTCCGGAGTCGAGCGCACTAACCATGAGGCCACCGCGCCTCCCGCTGCAAGCCTGTAGCTCCTTTCATATACAGCTCAAGCATTTCGCATTTTCATCCGCAAGGCTTTGAGCTCCTTGCCTTTTGAAATTCCTATGGAAAAAGTGTACGTTTTCTTGAGCCACAATGCGGCCGGATTCCTCTGGACTAGAAACCGTTAGATCATGTTGAGCACGAAAGAAGTGTAAGAGAAAATAATAATAATAAATAATAATAAGAAAAACACTAGACGTAGTCGAGTGTTTTTCCCGCTTCTTTAGTGCTCTACCACGGTAGTTTTAGTTCGTTGCTCGCAAGGCTTTGGACTGGCAGATGCTTCTTTAGCTCCAGCCTTTGGGCTCGTCACGCAATCTTTCTCCCCCAGGATTGCGTGAGCATCTGCGTATGAGGCTAGGTTTTATTTTTTATTTTTTACTTATTCTTTCTCTTTTCTTTAGCATTTACCGAAAGGCAGCGTTTGCCTTTCCGATGCGCGCTTGTGTTAAATGAAATGAAAAAACAAATAATGACTGCAACAGAACGATTGAGAAATCGGAAATAACTTACCTTGAAAACTGCAACT